ATTCTTCACGTATTTGATTGTCTACATTCAAACTAAATTTGTTTAATAATTTATATTTCTTTTTTAATATAAATGAAGTTAGCTTGCATTTATTGAAAATATTGTTAAGGTTTAACCTCATTAAAACATCAACTTAATTTTTTCAACCTCGCCATTTGTAATGTTTACATGAACGCTCAAAACGTTCCACTTGTGTTTACGACAGTAACGATCGCAAGCTAATGGAACGGGACAAACTGCTGTCTTGAGCGTAATTGTTGTGAGCGCCTAGTGGAACGCACGGTTATATTTATGTCATTACCTTGCCTTGCCTACCTCAATCTACTGCGTCACTAATTACTATCTACGTGTACTCTTCGCTGTCTGCATCCTATATCTACAGTAAAGTAAAAGATTTGTAGTTTCAAAAATTTGGGATTGTGGTTACGTTGAGCTGAAGTAAACAACTGGTTTTTCTCCTAGAAAAATATCAATAAAATGGCTCAAGGCTTACCAGATGCTGTATCTACAGATAATCCTGTTTTCCGAGCATATCTATTTTATTGTGGAATACTTATTTTGAAAATGATGTTGATGACCATATTAACTACTCTACAAAGGATCAAAAACAAGGTGAGACTAATGCCAATAGGTGTTGGGCCTAGAAGTTTATGTCTATGAAGCTTCACAAGTTTTAGTGGGTAGGTACTTTAGAAAAAAAAAGTTTATTTCGTTCAATACCTGAGGCACAAATCTTAAAAAAAAACTAAAACTTCTAAATTTAGAAGTAACTTTCAGTTGAGAAAGCTATTGTATAGCGAAACGTGTCGCGGTTTTTGTAAAACCCTCTATAGTTTTATAGTGAAAATCCTACAATAAACTGTATCAATTATTTTTTTAATATGTATTTTCATGAAGTATTGGCCAGTTTTATTCAATCACAAATATTTTCTGTATAAGTACTGTACAGACTAGAAAACTAACAAATATGAATTATAAAATATCCAATCTAATTCAATTTTGCAGTGTGCTCAGAGCTTTGCCCAGGGTTTTACAAACCATACTTTAAAGCAAATTTTGATTCGACTTATTCTGCTGGAATTTAAGTCTCCAATTAGTCTCAATCTTTTTTGAGAAAAGATAGTATTTTCAATGTTAAATATTCGCTCCTTTTAGAATTCGAAGGCAGGTTAGATGTTGAGAATAAACAGTTTTTCACAAAAGAAATAATCGAAAATACATTCGTTTTAGAATTCGAAGGTCAGGTTAAATGGAATATTTGTTGCGGTTGTTCTTTTTGGTTAGCTGTTCTCTCTCTAAATTTCAATATTTCAAATGTCACATTGGAAAAAAATTAATATGAAGTCCTAGATACTTTTGACAGGTCAAGTTGAGTTAGGTTTGGTCGGGTTAGGTTGTGTTGGGTTAGGTCGAGTTAGGTTGTGTTGGGATTAGAGATGGCACTGAACAGTTAAATTTGAAGAACTTTTTCGAACTGTTCCAGTTCTTATCGAAAACCTGTTCTTTTTCACCTATTCTTAAATGACGTCTCATCTTGCGTCATGGTCACTTTTTAGCGTTCGGTTCCGAGTGGTTCCGAATTTTCGTACGTTCCCTCCATTCGTCTTGTTGTTCTAGAGTTTTATTTCAGTAACAGGCTGAATGTTAGTGTAAAATAAATGAAAGATTAAGCCCTATTTGGATTTTTTTTCAATCATAGAGAAACAACTGCAACTAGCAACATGTGAAATTTGCAAGCAGGTTATTTCCTTCAAATCTTCCGTCATTTAAAGCGTCATATATGTTTAAAAAACACCCCACGGTGAAAATTCTACCCACTTGAAAAACAGTAAAAACCCACATTGAGGAGAATTCACAGAGACAGGGACGTACAATTTTGCAACAGGTAGGTATTTAATTAATTCGTTTTGCATATTCAAAATTTCATGGAAAACATTTGACTTGTCAGTGCTCAGTGCAGTCGAGAGCACAGGTCAGAGAGCGGTCCCGTCATCCAGTTCCAGCCTCAACCTGCGCAAGCGTCTTAGGAATAGCCACTCACCGTCTGAACCAAGTTCAGTTCAATGAAAAGAAAGGTTCACTGAACAGTTGACTGATACCTGTTCCGAAAAACCAGTTCGGTTCTTTTGGGCCCATCTCTAGTTGGGTTAGGTCGAGTTAGGTTCTGTTGGGTTAGGTCGAGTTAGATTAGCTGAGGTCGGGTTAGGTTAGGATAGCTAAGGTCGGGTTAGGGTAGGTTAGATTGGATTAGGTCGATTTAGTGTAGGTTTGGTCGGGTTAGTTTAGATTGGGTTAGGTCAGGTTAAGTTAGATTAGGCAAGGATAGGTTAGGTCGAGTTAGGTTAGGTTAGCTAAGGTCGGGTTAGGTTAGGATAGCTAGGTCGGATTAGGTTGAGTTAGGTTAGGTTAGCTCTAATTAGTATAGGTTCGGTCGGGTTAGTTTAGATTGGGTTAGGTCAGGTCGAGTTAGGTTAGGTAAGGTCGGGATAGGTTAGGTTAGCTCTAATTAGTATAGGTTCGATCGGGTTAGTTTAGATTGGGTTAGGTCAGGTCGAGTTAAGTTAGGTAAGGTCGGGATAGGTTAGGTTCTGTGATGTAGTATCATCACAGAAAAAATCGCGAAAATCCGTCAGTATGAAATTAAGATAGAGAACAGCTAACGAAAAAAAAGGCAACTGTTTTACAGATAAACGTGCGCTACTAGGCACTAACAGTTGAACAAATGCGCACATCAATATTTTTCAATATTCTGTTCATCCGTCATTTATTTTTCTCATTTTAGGTATAAATGTTATAATTATATGGTAGTTAAAAAAATTCAAAAACGTTATGAGTTTCTAAGTGATTATTGAAAAATATAGTTCAGGAGGCTAGGTGGTGCAACCAGGAAGGGATTTATCACTTCTTCAAGAGCAGGATATTTTATGAATCTGCCTTACATCAAATTCTTGAGCAGCAGAGTCAGTAAATTGCATCATGAGAGAAAACAAAACTTCCCTGGGCAGGTCAGCAATCGCTGACGCTCATGCGATGATTCACTCTAACCAGACCCCAAAAACCCTGCATGATCTTCTTCGCCTCTGAGCGGATCAGGAGAGAGTTTCTTTGCTGATGGGTGGAGTTAGTATCCTGCAGCCACGAGAAGCCTTTCCCTGAAATTTGTCTTACCTAATCTACTTCCCAAGCCACACATTTGTATTGCTTACCTACTTATCTGACTGAAGATAGTCGCAGACTGACCGCCGATCTGGTCCTCACTGGATTGAAGATAATATACCACGGTCTTTCAACCTTCAAGTGTATTAATAATGACTTATCATTTACTATGTGGTCACTTTGTATATTTATGTTATTTCTATCATGAAAAAAGAGTTTATCAATTGACAATTTGAATGATTTTGTACTTTTTTATGTGAATAAAAGTTCTAAAAAATTGTTTGAAATATTTTTGTAATGTGAAAAACATATCTTTTCCTGTGTGGACATTATCACTGGGAATATTTATTAGCAATATGTCACGTGTAACAAACATTCTGGGATTTAGTTTCTGATCACAGTTTGTCAAAGTTTGAATAGCAATTGTTAACCAATCAAACCAATTTCATCTGAACTCCCTGATGATGTGAAACTAGGGTGAAATATTTTTTTGCCAGGCAGGTATATCCTAATGGAGAATAGATTTAACTGCGACAGTTTCAAACTCAACATGTCCAATATATAGGGACCTCCAACCATTTCTTTGATTGATATAAAATATTTGAGCTCAATATGCTTGCTCTGATTTTCTTCTCGCAGAAAATGGTGCCTTACATCAATATGCTTCATCCTTGCTTGGTATGCACCATTTAAGGCAAGATTGAGAGCACCTTGATTGTCTACATGGATGACAGTAGGGCTATCAGTACTTTTTGAAATTACTTCCTGGACCAGACCTTTCAACCATAACGCTTTCTGACTCGCTGTAGATAAAGACATATATTCTGTTTTTGTAGTTGAGATTGCAATCGTTGGTTTTCTTTTGGTACACCAACTGATACGAATGTTACACATAAGAAAGATGTAACCAGTTACAGATCTTCTCTCGTCTGGTTCACTTTTCCAATCAGAGACAAGGACTGTTACACATAAGAAAGATGTAACCAGTTACAGATATTCTCTCGTCTGGTTCACTTTTCCAATCAGAGGCACAAAATCCAATAATTGCCCATTTTTTGTTTCCGTTGAATTCAAGTTTCCACAGCAAAGTACCTTTTAAATATCGGAATACACGCTTGCCGAGTGAATACACGTATTGTGGACTTGGATTACTGTTGAATCTGCTCAAGTTGCTAATGGCATATGAAATATCCGGTCTGGAAACCTGTGCTGCAAAAAGTAATCTTCCCATAGCTTCCTGGTAAGGATTTTTCATTTTCGCTAGTTCTTCTACATATTGTAGATCTTCAAGAAATGTATATCGGTACCCATTGGTGTCGTTTGCAATGATCCATATTGAATCTCTTTAGTATTTCTTCTATGTAATTTTCTTGAATGACCCAATTTTTTTTATTATACGGATCACGATTCAACTGAAATCCAAGAAAAAAATTTGCTTCTAAGTCAGTTAATTTCAATGTTTTCTTCAACTCAGATTCGATACTATTTTTATGACTATATTCGAGAATATAAGAAGATCGTCAATCCATACAGCTAAAATCAGGATTTTCTTCCCATTTACATTGAAATATACACAAGTATCAAAAGTGAGGTTGATCAAGACCCACTCTCTTCCTACATGATTCTAATACAGGTCCAACACCCTATATAAAAAGTTTATGATCATATCTGATAGTACAATGTAAGTTCCAAATGGCAATTGGTAATTTTTCAAGGATGCAAATGCACAAAATTCTATCAACGTAACTCTCCTCTTTTCGTTTTGGAGTCCCATTATTTGAAGATTTGATTTTAATAAATGCTTTCTTTCTAAACAATATCTCTTGACCCGATTATTTTATGACTATGTGATTAGATAAATGAGTTAAGTGTTGTATGTAATATAACTTTTTTTTAAAAAATCTATAAAAAATCAGTCCGTTATAAATTTCAAACTGTAGAACCCTGCAATATAGCAATATAGATAGGAATATTGAACCATGATAATATTTACAATGTGTTCACCAGAAAGAATAAAAAATACAAAATCCCCCCAAAAAAAATGGAGAAACGAACTCGCGCTATTGAAGATATTTGGTCACTAATTATTTCCATAAAATACACCTTAAGATTTGATCTTCACAATTGAAAAAGCTACTGTGATAGCGAAACATGTCATGATACATTTTGAAAATTAAGTTTGTGAAGAATAAATCGTAAGATGTAGTTTATGAAATTACTATGGATATTCGTTAAGTAACGGCCGAATTAATCAGAAAGCATCAATTATTTTTAGACTATCTATAAAAACAATTTATTCGATGTTCACATTTCTAATGAAGTCCCTAATATAAACAGATTTGTTTCTTGGGATAATAAATGAAGGAATCATTCGAAATATAGATATTTTTTTAACGAAAGTTCATATTTTCATTTCCAGTCATTTGCAAATGAAGAAGATGCCAAAAATTTTAAAGGGAAAGTCCGAGTAGTTGAAAATGTAGAAAGAGTAAGAAGGTACATAATTTTAGAATATCTTTAAAAATCATATATTTAGTATTTGAATTTTTAGGGCCCATCTGAACGATGTGGAAAATATCCCATTATTCTTTGTTGGCGCATTTATATACACACTGACCAACCCATCAGAATATGTTGCGAAATCTCTATTTTTAGCATACACTGTTGCAAGAATTGTACACACTTTTGTTTATGCAGTTTATGTTGTACCACAGCCAGCAAGAGGATTATCTTTCGGAGTTGGGGTTTTCATCACAGGATACATGGTGATTAAAGGTTTAATCAACTTTGCATAGAATTTATGCAGAATATTTTAGATAGTTATTGTGGTGAACGAGTTTGTTAATTTCACTAAAATTATTCGATAAGGATGACCAGTAAGGGAGAATCAGAAACGAAGACAGATACAAAGTTGTTTAAATTAGGAAGAAGTTGCCCACTTTAGAGCTCATTTAAATTATGTTAAAATTTTTTGAAAATTCTGATTGGTTCTAAAGATATTCGAAAAGAATCGTAATTTGCCACTACCACCTTTCAAGCTGCACAACATGGCGTTTACAGATTTTCAATCCAACGATTCGTCTCCAAGAAACCACCAATTTAAATTTTTTATATGGACTGAAAAAATTAAGAATAAACTTACCTAATGAAATTGTTAAAAACTAACATAAAAATTGAACATTACAGTTATATTCTGAATCAGTTTCTAAAAACATAATAAAACTAATCGGTTTTCAGTCTGTTTAAAACAGAGTCAGACCAGCTGTACTCCAAACTTTGCTAAATATCCCTGAAGAATAGTTTGACACTGTGAATTCGTACTGCTTATAAAAGTTGGTAATCGCCCAGGATGGGATCTTCCTAGGGCAGCAAGACTTTGGACCAGGAATTGCCTTGGCTCAGCAACAGCTGCAGAATAAATTATATTACAAAACAGACAAATACTCTTAACACAGGGTATTTAATAATCGAATGCTGATCCTGAAGGGTGATTATCTTTGGATGATTTCGAAAAAAATCTCATTATGAACATAGGTCCCCAAGTGCTTCATTTCTGACATACAGGATGTTGAAATTAAAAAAAAATATTTCTCCCCTGAGATCTCATTGGTTTTTAGAATATTGGTAAATTGATGTTCATCAGTTGAGCCCCTGTTAACATGCCATAGTTTTTATCAGGATCATGATACGCCAGTGTCTTTTTTCCAAATGAATATTTTTTTTCATAAAAATGGTCTCATGCCTTTTTTTCGTTCGGCGAACGGTTTCTGAAGTAGAAAATAAAATACATTCATTTTATATTCACAAATTCAGGCTATTTATAACATCACCAAAATGCAGAACGATTTTCCTATTTACCCTTTCAAACTACATTCACATACATGAAAGCCCTACCGGATTTGATTGCCATCCCAAAAGATCTACTTTATATCCAACGATTTTCCTTTGAATGAATCTTCTATGCAACAAGTTTCAAATATCATTCTTGTATAGCCACAATTAAAGTTATATAAAATTGGACACCGATTAGATTGTAATAGCATCTTACAGCTGCAGCGACGTCGAATTAATAATTTTTTATTTACCAGCTATACATAGTTTTTATAAAAAAACTATGACTGTTATCATAAAAAGGAAATAAGTTTCAGAGATGATAAAAAACTTTTTTTTTGGTAAATTTCAACATCCTGTATCTCAGAAATAATGAATTTTTCTTAAAATCATCCAACGATAATCGCCCTTCAGGATCAGCATCCAATTATGAAACACCCTGCATAATTATAGCTCAAAAAAAAATGTCAAAAAAAGTTGGTGTTAGAGGCACTGTTGATTCCTGATATGAATTGACATGTGTAAGTGTAAGGTAAAAATTAGAAAAAAAAACTTTTTGTAAACACAGAATTATATATAGGGAGGTAGACAAAGAACATCCTAGATTATACAGGCTGATTCACGGTGGATGGCACATTAGACGTTTCTGGTGAACCAGACAACGGATCACTTTGAAAATTTAATGGAGGGCATATTCGGACATTCTCTAGCCAACTAAAATATTTTCGACAATGCGGTGTTGCCGCTTCTATTAGAAAGCAGTAGCAACTTTGATTTTTCAAATG